AGGACATTCGTAGCGGAGCCTTGTGAGAGCGCTTATGATGCCAACCGTTGGTTCTTCATAAGAAAATCAAACAGCAAGCTACGATGGATACAAGTCTTACAGAAAACAAATAAGGTCACCGTTAGGGACGTTGGGTCCATCCCTAACGCGGATCTCCTATCCGAAGGATCAGCCGGGCGTTCAATTTACTCAGTCTGCGACCTTTTTTCGGGCTATGATAAGATTCCGCTTGACAACAAAGACAGGCATTTAACAGTCATGCACACGCCATTAGGACTAGTTCAAATGATGGTGGTGCCAATGGGGTGGACTAATGGTGTTGCTGTCTTTCATAAGCGATGGTGGCCGTTCTGGGAGAACTTATACCAAATTTGGTGAGGGTTTTCCTGGATGACTTCTCAATCAAAGGGCCGTATGAGAAAGATGAAACAGAGGTGAGACCGGGAGTCAGAAAGTTCGTCGCTACCCATGCAGAGGATAGTAAGAAAGTATTAGTGAAGTTAGAAGACACGAACCTTACGGTAAGTGGAACAAAAAGCAGATGGGCAGTATCCTCTATAAAGATATTGGGTTACATCCGTGACAAGGATGGCAAACGCCCAGACCCCGCAAAGTTATAAAAGCTTATGAACTGTTCTACTACCCTACGACATATTACTGACATACGCCAGTTTCTAGGAATGGTCGAATTCTGGAGGAATTTCATAAAAGGGTACGCTGCAAAGGCCGAACCCTTAAGAAAGTTTTTGTGCAAAGGAGTAGAATGGCAATGGACGAGTGAACAGGAGGATACAATAAGAACGTTAAAGGATGAGTTTAAGGAAGGAGGTAAAGTCCTTGGCGTACCTTACTTCGAAGACGAGGAAAAACGACCATTCGTCGTATGTACTTACCTATAGAATTTCATATTGACTCTTGGTGGACGATTGACTGGGAAGAGATCTCCAGTAGGGAACAGTTGCTGGTCGCAAAAATCAAACAAATAGCCGAAACTCTTGACGATAGTATCCGAGACACCATTGACAGGCTAAAGATCTAGAGAGGAAAAGAGAAAGAAAGATGGGATAGGAATCTTCGGGTCAGACAAGAAGGGATACCTACGGGGAGCCTAATCCTGCTCTATGACTCCTCATTAGAGAGAACATGGACATGGAAGCTAGCAAACAGATGGATGAGGCCCTACAGAGTGGTCAAAAGACTAGAAGGCGGAGCCTACTTGATAGAGAAATTAGACGGCACAAGATGGAAGGAACCAGTGTTAGGAACCCGCCTTAAAGTATTTAAAGACCGAAAAGAGGTTATTCCACGTACAGGAAAAGTCAAGCAGAAGGATGAGGTCCCTAGGCACCTAGAAAAAGGTAAGAAGAAATATGAACCCTTAGAAGAACCCGCGACACCAACCACTCCGAAAATAGGGGAGCCCTCTAATCGGCACGTAGAACAACCTACGGCACAACCCACTCCTCAAGTAACGGACTCCTCTAGGCGATCTTCAAAAAGGAGACAAGGCAAACTTCAAGGGGTCCGATGTACACAACGGAAATACACCAAGAAAAACAAGTACGAGATCGACAAGCTGGCGCCGACAAAAAAGGAGAAAAAAAGGAAGGCCAAACAAGTCATCAGAAATGCCCTAACTGTAGAAAAGAGGGAAGATAAGCACCACCGACATGTTACACGCACTACAGCAGACAAAAACTTAGGGGTTAAAAAGAAAGTGACTAAAAGAAAGTCACGCAAGAAGGCAAAACAAAAGAAAGGCATCCGGGCAGGACAAAGAGGATGATCTTGGGTTGATGGGTGAAGATTAGGAGTCATCGATCTTTCATATTCTTTCTTCCTTCAAATGCCAAGATTCGATCGACGAGGACGTTGAGAATGTGGGGGGGGGGGGCTGCTGTCAGGCGGCTCCAATACTACGACGCCCTTTACTTTCTTTCCAAGGACACACAACAAGAACTTCACTCGACAGTATTCTACCTCGTCGGGGCTCACCGACCATGAGGCAGACCAATACTACGACCAACGGGGCTACCGACGTTCACAGACCACTCGGCGGGACGACACTCCTCAGAATGAACAGTGACATCCTTGCTTGACGTTACTTTACCTGGCTGGGACTCACCGACCACGAGGCAGACCAACGCTACGATCGAGGGGGTTACTTCGCCTGGTCAGGACTCACCGACGATGAAGCAGGCCGGCGCTATGGACGAACGGGCCACTAGGCTGGTTGATTTTCCTTCCGAGGGAACGGTCCCGCTAGGGCGCGGGGTCCGCCTAGGCCCGAATGAGTGACGGGACCAGTCTTCACTTACAGGCCCCGACTGCATTTACCCCTTAGGGGCGGTACCGCTACTGCGTGGGGACCGCCTAAGCCTAGGCGGCCTGGTACAGGCCTGGAAGTAGGCTCCGTACCAGGGCGCTGCAAAGGGCCCAGTTCCCGACAGGAAGGCCCTTTTCACCGGGACCTTTTCGGAGGCCCAATCAGGCCCGGGCACAGCCCCGGTACCGGGGCGCTGCAAGTGTTCCGCCGCCTCGGTGCACCCGATGCCTGGGCACACACTTGTGGGAAGAGCCCGGCAGAGTACTTAAGCCGAACCGGGCCCAAGAGTGGGATATTCCCCACATGCAGGCTTGAGGCGCACAGGACAGGAGTGACGGACTGGAACACGCACGAGAGTTGACACGTGCGGGACCCACGCACGGGACACAGGCGCACAGGGCACTGGCGCACGACGGTTCTCAGGAGCCGGAACGGACGCACAGGAGAGACGCGCACGGGAGAGGCGACGGGCATCGACGCGTACAGGAGGTAAGACGCACTCGCGCACTGTCGGGATCGGGCGCGCAGCCTCACGCTCACACTTCCGCGCAGTCGAGATTGAAAGCTCGGCCCGGCACACCCACGCGCACACTCGCGCGTCATCGCGCACTTGCGCACAGGGGTCTGAACGGCGGGGACACGGACCTTGCGTGCCACTACGCGCACTCGTGCACGCTCACGCGTAGGGGATAGAGGTAACACGGGGGAGCCACGCGGACCTCGCGCACCACTGTGCGCACTCGTGCACGCTCAGACATAGGGGATAGAGGTAACACGGGGGAGCCACGCGGACCCGCACACAACCCCGCGCGGGAGACAGCAGCAGCAGGGAGCACCGCGCCTCGCCGTGCGCGCGACTACGCACCAGCGGGGGTGAGCGGAGAACACCGCGCGCCACTGCGCGCATGTTTACGCAGCTGTAGGAACCAGCGGGAAGCATCGCGCGCCGCTCAACGGGCACCCTCGCACTTGCGGGGGGCGAGCGGGGAGCTCCGCGCGTCACTACACCGCACCTGTGCATTCGGGGAGGGGGGACGGACAGGGGAAGCCGTGGCGTGAGACCACCCGCACCCCGCGAGTTAGCGCGCATGCTAGGACAAGCCGAGGGAGCTGCGCGCGCGAGCGTGCACCTGCGCATTGAGTCTAGATGGGAGGGGACCTGCGCGCGCAAGCACACACCGCACGCGATTAGCAGGGGCCGATAGCAAGCCGCGCGAGAGAGTGTACCCCTGCTCATTGTGAGTCGGGAGAGGCAAGGAGCCGCGCGCACGAGCGCGTACCAGCATGCAGCGAAGTGGGACGGGCAGGGAGCCGCACGCAAGATTGCACACCTGCGTGCAGTAAGTTGGAGCGGGTAGAGTAGCGGGTGCGCGAGCGCACTCCCGCACGCCTTGCATCGGGAACGCGGGGGAGTCCTGATCAGCTGAGCCGATGCTCGAGCCTGCTCACACCAGCGCGGGCGTCGGCACTTGGCATGACACCGGGGACGACCATCGGGCTCAGTGAGCGTACGCCCTGCCAGTAGCGTCCGGGCACCATGCAAGGTGGAATCTTTGGATACGGCTCTGGGTCACCGGACTGGACTGAGCTACGAGGCGCAGATCGGGTCACCGCTCCGGACCTGGCTACGGGGAGCAGATTGGATGATCAGACCGGACCGAGCCTTTGGGCGCAGATTGGAAGATCAGACCGGACCGGGCCTTTGGGCGTAGATTGGATGATCAGACCGGACCGAGCCTTTGGGCGCAGATTGGAAGATCAGACCGGACCGGGCCTTTGGGCGCAGATTGGATGATCAGACCGGACCGAGCCTTTGGGCGCAGATTGGAAGATCAGACCGGACCGGGCCTTTGGGCGCAGATTGGAAGATCAGATAGGACCGGGTCTTTGGGCGCAGATTGGAAGACCTGACCGGACCGGACCTTTGGACGTGGGTTGGAAGATCAGACCGAACCGGGCGCTTCGAAGGGACACTTTCTCGAACCGGCCCTTCTGAAGAGGCACTTCCTGAATAGGGTCCTTTGAAGAGGCGCGATTTGAACCAGACTCCGTGAGTGGGGGGGCTTTCTTCGCAGGCACGTGGCCAGGCACTTTTGGGCCTACACTCCAAGGGCACGCGGACAAAGGCACACGAACAGACATCCTCACGAAGGGGCGCTTCCCGAACCGGGCCTCCCCGAGGGGGTACTTTTGTGAAGCGGGCCTTTTGAAGAGGTACGACCAAACAGGGCTTTCTCGAACAAGTACTTTTGCGAAGCGGGCCTTCTGAAGAGGTACGACTGAACCGAGTTCCTCGAGCAGGTACTTCCGTGAAGCGGGCTCTCCAAAGAGGTACATCTGAACCAGGCTTTTCCGAGTCAAGGCACTACGGACAAGACGACCACGCAGAGGCATGGTCTCTGTAAACCTCGAGCTCTGGCCCCGATGGGCAAGGGAGGCAACATCTGACATAGAGAGCTCCAGTACGGTCTCTTGGGACCGATGGGCACGTTACAAGCGTCATCCGATCAGTAGGAGAGTTCGGCCCAGGCGGACGACTAGATCTATAGGCACTCAGACAAACTTTTTAGATGTTATGGCAGGGCATATGATTGAGGCAGGGACTAGTGCTTCACATCCTATCATTTTGGACTGAATGGGACTACTTTTTATTCCTTCCAGACAGTGTTTCATGAGCTTCGTCTCGCATTCATTTCGGTCTGTTACGATCCTTCTGTTCGCGGATGTGGACTGACGTGTTTTGTGCAGGTTACAGGAGCCCCGACCGACCCTCTGACGGGTGACAGACACGACGCGAGGCTTAGGGTTTGGATGGCATGCCTTCAGACCCCTTGTACCGGTCGACACCGTTCGTCTTCACAACGAACGACATTGTCACGGGGGGACCACGGAACAACGACCCCTCCTCTGCGCACTGCGACAGGCTAGACAACTGCAGCACCCTGATGTCGTGGCAACTACCTGGGTATCCCATGTGCACGTCGAGCACACGGAAGTCCAGGTCGACGACAACCTGCGCGACGATGGAGAAACGGCGCTTCCTGTCGTAGTAGTTTTCGCTCGGAGTGTTCACCGACTTGTCCACGTAGATGTGAGTACAGTCAATGCAATCGTGGCAGTTGGGGAACCCTTTATCACCGAACGCTCGGAGAACCACGAGTTTACGAACTTCAGTCGGCCACGCGGTCTTCTCTCCGAACACCCTCAGCAGCGCGACAGTAACGTCGTGGACGGCAACCAGGCCAGAAGCTCGTCCAATCCCGAAGTTGCACGTGCTACTCTCGTACGTCTCCCTTGTAGCCCACCTGTACAGTGCGTACGCCATAATCTGGTCCGGCTGCAAAGGCTCCCTGTAGAACGTGACTCGCCGCTGAAGATGAGGTGCACACGCCTCAGCGATCTCCCGGACCACTCGCGGCGACATTCGTAGCTTATCCCGGAAGTAGTTGTCTGTGGCGTCGTCGCATTGCCTAAGGTCTTCCCACGTGCCTCCTGTCCTGCGCTTCACCCACCACCGCGGCGCTGCACAAGAAATCACTCCGCAACCCAACGCGTAGCACAGGTGAACAACAGCCTCCGACGTCACCACGTATTCGGCCCCATCGTCCGGACCTTCCGTCAATGTCCTCCGTCTACGTGCGCGCAACTGCTCCTTCAGTCGCCCCAGCTCCCTCTCCTGCTGACATCGAAGAACGATCGTCGACACGGCCGTCGCCACGGCCTGCAGCTCACCAGGCATCAACACATCACATCTACCCTCTCCGCCGCCCTCCATAGCCGGGACGTATACACGGACCCGTCACTCCGCTACTGTCTGTCTCGTCCTTCCACACCGGACGAAGAAACCGAAGACGTTCGTCGAAAGGTGGTCCATTTTCTCTGCTCACAATCCCGCACAAGGAAATGAGGAGCAATGCGCAGTCGACGTGTGCAAAGGTCCACGACGATGGACGCACCACACGCTGCCCGCAAAGTCAGAACGGCCTTGGGACGGAACCTCCGCCGCGCTGAGCCCCTTCCCGCACCACGCCGTCGTCGCGCCGCCAGCCACACGTCGTCGTCGTCGTCGCAGCAGTCATTCGAATTTCGAAATTTCAAATGCCCACGCCCTTGGGGTTAAATTTATTTTCGCGTCGCCCGCCGAATATCGTTTCCCGCCTCACGTCGCTGGACCATGCCGCCTTTACACGGACAAAAGACGCTGGACCAAGGACGACCGACCCCACGGCCGCTAATTTGCGTATGAAAACAGCCGCGGGTGAGCTACAAGGAAACATCCTCGGGGGAGGTCCCCAAGGATGAGTGGAACGACGCTGCAAATTCCCCTAAAAAACCACGAGGACATTTCCTTGTGGCTCAAGGAACTCGCAAGGAGTGTCTAACGAGACCCGCTGTGTGGCGAAGAGGGTTTTTTTGTCGAATGAGGGAATGCCAAGAATTTCCTGAATTGTATCGAATTTCGTGATGTTTCTACATTGGTGTGGCGAGGCCCTTAGGCTTGCTTTTGAGAATGCATAGGATCCTGCCATCCGACCTGAAACCCCACCTGACAACATTAGGGCTTGAAAACAAAACTAATGAGGTCACGTCTAATGTAGATGTATGTTTGGACAGGGTAGACGGGGAATTTAGTTTTATTTGGTGTGTGGAACCGTTACTGGCCTTTTTGGGACTTTGGTGCCTGTCGGTGTTCTGGCCGGGTGCAAGCAGGACCAGTGCCGGACCCTCTACATTTTGTTGTGTTATCCGCATAGTTAGTCAGGTACGCTAAGGACAGTTGTCCAAAGTATAAGTACAGACAGTACGAATTAACAAAAATCTGCTGGATTTTCTTTCCCATGTTTGCTGAAATAATACCCCGCCCGGTGACACACGGGTTGCAAATCAGAAAGGACACGAGCCGGACTCTCTGGCAATTGCAAAATTGGTGCCTCTCATGGTCACAAAGCGCGGAAATTTTCAATTCTCTAAAGGCAAAAGAGAATTTGTGACAGCCAAAAGAGAATTTGCCACCACCTCTCGAGGTGGTAGCAAAATGCCCATCCCCGGGCCCCCCAGGCCGCTGACAAATGCTACCCCGTTTGCAATTTTGGTGGTGGGAAAACCCTAGTGTGACTCTAACAGCATAGCAGATTTTGCGAATTAGCAAAAAAAAAGGCTAGTGTGAGTATGCCCTAAGACCTCTTACGGGACCTTTGCTTTTTTGCTAATACTCGGCAGCGGAAAGAGGAGGAGGGTTGGTGAATTGAACGGCGGCTCTTGGGTGTTGTGGAAGATGATTGACCTGTAATCTATGAATCCCTCGGGAGATGGCTGCACGCAGCCAAGGCAGCGGTCACCGTAGCGGCCAGTAGGGGAGGGGTGCCAGGGTGGGGGGGGGTAGTTGGGGTTGCGCAACCCTAACCCCGCCCCCTGGCACAAAAACAACAAAAGAAAAACGAATTTCTGGAAGGGAGGGAGAGGGGGGGAGTGAGTGTTGTTCATAAAGACGAATTTAAAAAAAAAAAAAAAAAAAAAAAAAAAAAAATCTTCATTGATTGATTGATTGATTGATTGATTGATTGATTGATTTGCAAGGACAATGAGCCATAGAGAAATGACAGAAATCCAGAGTGCAAAATCACATTGAAAGCCATCCAGTCCAACGCTGTTCAGAAAGCAGAAAATTCACCGATATTCCATCAACAGAGAACCAAAGCACTGAATCCGAATATCAATGAGAGCGTACTCTCGTCATCACCGACATATGTATCCAGAGCCCTTCCTCCCACTTCGCAGCGACTAGCAGCCTACGAATTGACAATGCATCTTGTTGACGTCAGCAGCAACAACCGTAGTACGTGAAGATGTCGACCTTGTAGACCATCGCCAAGACCAGGTATGTGCCCTCGCATCATAACGTCATCTCTCACCCTCGACAACTAGTGCCCACGTCTTCCCTCTCATGCACGAAGACCACCACCACCTCCACTGGCTATGTCCAAGCCAAGCTCGGCTATGGGGGCTGGCTATAGCGCTGCCCTCAGCAGTGCCCTTGACCCTGCACGTCCGCACGTGCACGCAGCACCAGCGCTAGCGCAGCAAGCAGCCTGCGAGCGCTCGCTCCAGCAGCGCTGCCGCCCGCAATTGCAAGTGTCTGAGTGTCTCGACTAGAGCCCAGCCCTTTCCTACAAGGACAGTGGTGGGCGCTTTCCCACTTGCTTCCCACGTGAGACCAGTTTCCAGTAGCTTCAGTCTCGGCCAAAGTGTCGGCACCCAGGTCCGTTCAGACAGAGGCCTGGGACCGAATTCAAGTTGGTTGGGCATGGCCAACCACCCAGGCATAAATGTGTGGTGCTCCCTGCTTCTACCACGTTGCTGGAAGAGCCTGAAGGGATCACAAATATTTTGGATCGTCACGAGCAAGGCGGATGTAACCGACTGGCATGTG